TGCAGAAGGGGCTCAGAAGGGAAAGCTGCTCTGTGCCTCTGCTGTCACTATTACCAGTCCTGTCTTCTCATTTACATTGCTGGGATTTTTGAATTGCAGCAGCTGAGGTACTCGCATTTACTTCCACCAGTTTTGCTGGAGCAGTAACATTTGTTAGGCTGGAATAGCTGAGGACTGGTATCATCTTAAATTGCTGCAGTTGTTTGACTAACACACCCCAACACTGAGCTTTAGCATGGAATCAGTAACATGTCAAGTCGAAGTATTTTTGACATTGTTAACACAAGAGAGTACCAAGTCAGTGTGGGTAACTTTTTTTTTTTCGCTGCTGTTGTTCAAATGCCAGAGAAAAAAATGCTAAGAATGAGCTTGGACTTGTCTGGGGTACCATTTGGTTCTCCTAAAGCTCTTCACATATACAAGTATTGATTTAAACGGAACAGTTTGAGGAACTGGGGTTTAAACTCGTCTCTTATAGGACTTAATACTTGTAATGAAAGGCTTGCTAGTTGTGCTGGGTGTATGAGGGCAGGCATCAAGCATTTGTGGTCTCAAGTCATTTATATCCTACTGAAAATTGAACCTCTTCTGAAAACAGCATTGCCATGACAGTTCTGTTCTTCCTTTTCTTCACCAGCTGTTGTGCACCATGCTTTCTTCTCTCACCTGGAACTTTGCCTGCCACTTGCTCCAGATCTCTAATGTCCTGCTGATTCAACTGCTGCCATCCTCTCTGATTATCTACGTGGCTCAGCTCTTCGTTTTGCTGGGTGAAAAAGTTGTGAAAATCCTGGGCTCCCTGAGGCTGGAGGGCAGAGGGCTGTGGGCTTCATTCTGGGGGAGGAAGCAGGAACAGATTGATGATGCTCCAAAAGCCACCTCAGGGGGGAAATAAAGCGAGTAGCCCCACAACCATCTGTCCCACTTGGCATCGGTGAGAGCTATTGCAGCATGGCAGAGGGAGGTTAAGTCTTGAAAAAGAAGCTTGCTCAAGACTAAGCCAACACACACTTGGGTCACAACAGCTGCTTTCAGAGCGAACGTTGTTGCTCATGTGGATGACAGCAGCCAGCCACTTGTGCAGTGCTTGGGTGTGTGCTTTGCTCACCTTACAGAGGGATGGGTTCCTTTTTTGTAAGGACCAAACACAACACCAGCACCAGTGGTACTCTCTGTTCACTGCTGCTGATCTTTGATTACGCACAAATAAGATCAAGGCAATAGCTCTTGGCAGTGGTTCTTAAATGCAGTGCAGCCCAGTGATTATCTTACTCATGTTGCAATTAGTAATTTTCTGACCGCAGCTTGTCAGTTCTTAAAGTTGGAAACAAATTTCTTTAATAATACAATGGTTTGAGTTGGAAATAACCTTAAAGATTATCTAGTTCCAACACCCCTGCTGTGGGCGGGGACACGTCCTACTAGACCATGTTGCTCAAAGTCTCGTTAATGCTCAGGTCTAACAGTTGAAACAAGCCTAGCTCCAATTAACAAGCAATAATTAACCCCACAGCAGATAGTGAGCATGCACTTTCATTTCTGTTCAGGATGTACTTTTCTGCGCAGCTGATGGGGCTGATACAAGGTTAGATCACAGCCCAGGGAAACACCAGGGAAACACAGATGTAACTGTGGGACCACAGGGAGGTTGGCGGGGCTGGGATGAGCTATAATTTTGTAGTCCAGTCCAGTGAGGCGACAAACAGAGCAGCTGTTTGCTCCTGGTGTTGATGCACACATTAAATAAACTACTTTTTAAAGAGGGCTTGAATTAGGAAATCGCATACTGAAGAGTGCATTTCCACTCGTGAAAAGTGTTTTTCTCTGTTCCTGCTGTAAAGTAACTGTGTCTCTCGGTAGCCTCGCACGGGCCGGCTGCCTGACAGCGCCCGCACACCTTGTTTGGGTTTACTGGTCCTTCCCTCCCCATCCCCTGAGCTCTCCGTGTCCAAATATTTGTCCAGAGCCCTGAAATAAAACTTGTTTGTCCACGTCTTTATTTTCACAGGTCCTTTATTTAGAGTGAAAAAAAATATATATATATTTGCCATTCCTCAGCTGAGGAAATCTCCAGGGTACTTCCC